TTTGGGTTATTTATTTTGAATAATAGTATACAATATAAATATATTAATTTTATTATTAATTAAAATAAATACAAGTTGACTAAGGGCAAATTGGATATTTAAGAGGATTTATTGAGGGTAAGTTGGGAAAAGCCCAATTGTGAGGCCCAAAACTAGATTTAACAAAAAGGAAATTGTGAAGAGATTAGGATTCATTTGTTAGAACATGAAAAGAATTGAGGCCAGAGCTCTGAGGAGGAAGATTGGAGGCAAGAGCTTCGGAAGGTTCCCTGAAAGATTTGAGAAGGCTTTGATCGACAATTAAGGTATGGGGAGTATTACCTTCATGATTTTCCATGTGTAACTTTCAATGTATTTAAGGTCGATTTAAGGTTTAAGGGTTTTGAGGGTGGATATGAGAATTAATGATATTTGGCCTTCGTGGCTTAAATCTATTATTGTGAATCTAACCGTGGAATTCATTGGGGAAAAGGAAAAGTTAGGCCTTCGTGACCAAAACCATGATTTGTTATTTGTCTAACCCTTAAAGGATAGGAATATTAGATGGTGAGTAACTCTGATGCCTGCAGGGTAATTGTAAGGAATTTGTGATTTAGAGTGTGAATATGATACAGGATTCGCCTAATGAACTGTAGATTTTGTGCCTTTATCGCCATAAGACCTTAGGGATGATTTATGGATGTTTTGGGGGGCATTGGGGAAGTGAATCGTGTGGACTTTTGGGTTGAATTAAGTCCTGGTGCGTAGCAGAATTTGCTGTCATCGCACTATTCTCCTAGCGAAGAATGCTTCGCACAGTGAACAATGTTGTTCTCAGACTCGCCTAGCGAAGAATCCTTCGCACAACGAAGAAACTTGCCCCAGACTCGCCTAGCGAACATGCCAGCGAACGTAGCAGAGTTTCACGAATGTTGATTGCGTGCAGCGATGCCTTGATGTTTGATTCTGTGATTTCTGTGATGAATTAGCATGAGTATAATTGGGAATTTCATGTGATTAATATGCGAAAATATGATGACTACCATGAGTATAATTATGAATTTTATGTGATTAATATGTGATAATATGATGAATTAACATGAGTATGACTGTGAATTCTATGTGATATGTATATGATGATGATTATTATTATGATGAGTTATGATGACATGATCTATGATGATGATTATTATGATGAGCTATGATGACATGATGTATGATGATGATTATTATGATGAGCTATGATGACATGATGTATGATGATGATTATTATGATGAGCTATGCTGATATGGTTTTGATGATGATGATTATGATGAATGATGATGCACCTATGATGTTATTACGAGGATGATTTGTGACGTGTGCATCATGCATTCATGTGCATCCGGACTTCGGTTCAGGACCTCGATTACTTTGGCTTCAATCCCATTGTGCGGATGTGAAGTGTTTTGATGTGCTCCGGTTCTCTAGTAGAATCGATCCTATTGATGGGGATCTATGGAAGGTTGATGGCCCAGTGTCCATCGCGCTGTGATGATTGGTACCACATGCATTGAGTCTTGTTGCATTTGCATTTATGAGTGATTTGGAATAATTTATGATGTTGTGGCCTTGGAGGTCTATTGATGAATATGATGAAGTTGAATATGACTATGACACCATTTTATATGTTGATTTTCATACATTGATTATTATGAATCGTTTTACTCACCCTGCCTGTTTGAATGTTACCTCCACGTGGGTAACGTCCAGATGACCAGGTTTACCCGTGGATGCCGATGAGGACTTTTGAAGTTTTGATTTGTTGGCCTTTGGTCAACTTAGAGGGTCTTGCTCTGATTGTGTAACATCGGGTTGGGGTCTTTGAGTCGAGCTATGTTTTATTGAGTTATTATGATTACCTTTCCGTATAAGGAAAACTTTGGAATATGCCTTGTGAGTTCCGCTGCCTTTGAGAAAATTTTGATATCTTTTGGGAAAACCCGTTATACATGGAGCATTGACTTATTTTGAGCTTTGAGAAATGTACGCCCTTTGAGGTGATTTATTGTTGAGTTTAACATTTTACTCTGATGACTTTGAATAAATGTGTCTTTTAATTGTGGGGTAGAAAAGGGTGTTACAATGAAATATCATTAAATGGTTGCGTACTTTTGCAATGACAAGTTGCTCATCCACTACTTTCAAGACAGTCTCAGTGGAACATCATTAGAATGGTATATGAAACTATAACAAGGTCAGATCCACACCTTGAAAGACTTGGCTAAGGCATTCTTGAAACATTACCCATACAACATAAATATGGCTCTAAATCGTACTTAATTGAAAAATCTTAGATAGAAGAGCATTGAGTCGTTCAGAGAGTACGCCCAAAGATGGAGAGAGTTGGGTGCTCGGGTTCAACCGCAAATGCTGGATAGGGAGCTAACATATATGTTTATAGGTACTCTGCAAGGCCCATATTTCAAACAGATGATAAGCAGCATGTCATAAGCCTTCTCTGATCTGGTGACAATTGAGGAACACATCGAGGGTGGCCTCAAAAGCAGAAGAATCCAAGGAGCCTCAAGTTTCCAAACTAGTGAGATTAAATCCATTAGCAATTTCCAAAAGGAAAAGAAGGATGAAGATAATGCATTATACGAAACTCCCTAAGCTTTACAAGCTCCATTTTCGGTGCCTTATTACCAGTACTTGTATATATCAGTTGTTTAGAGTCAGTAAAATTTTGGGTCTCCATGTTAAATGACATTCCTTCCACATGGTCAATAACATCCTGTAAATCGAGGCCATTTCAGTATCAACAACAGATTCCATAGCAGCCGCCATATCAGCGGCAACATGTTCTGCCACGATAGGGCCAGTGCAGTCAAAGGCCAAAGAGGCAGTTTGATTCTTTTCGAATGTCAAAAAGTCATATACTTCCATATTTGATCAACAGTCGATTAGTAGAGCCGAAGCAAATGAATCCACTTCCTCTTCCATACCCATCAGGCTTTGACCCCAATGCCCGATGTGGTTTCCTTGTCGACGCACCAGGACATTCAGCTGAGGATTGCAATGCACTCCAAAATAGGGTACAGGATCTGATTGAGTCTAAATTTATTTCATTCACGCCTTAAGGCCTTCAAATCAACATCAATCCTTTACCTGGTCATGTGGAACCCTCAGTCCATGCTATGCAAGAAATTTCCAAGAATAAGTGTGAAGATTGAATGTGAGAAAAATACACCAGAAGGGGGTTAAATTGTGTGTGCCAAATCTCTTTTGCTTCTATATTAGAGTTCAAAATCTAAATAGAAGTTCAAAATCTAGTTTCCTTGCAGCACAAGAACTTTCCACTATAATCAAATTGAATTTTGTACACATGAACCAGCTAATTTAAAATCCTAATTGTTCTTCATAAATTTTGATATCTTTTGGGAAAACCCGTTATACACGAAGCATTGACTTATTTTGAGCTTTGAGAAATGTACGCCCTTTGAGGTGATTTATTGTTGAGTTTAACATTTTACTCTGATGACTTTGAATAAATGTGTCTTTTAATTGTGGGGTAGAAAAGGGTGTTACAATAGGGATTAGTCGTCAAAAGACTCATTTGACAATGAAATATCATTAAATGGTTGCGTACTTTTGCAATGACAAGTTGCTCATCCACTACTTTCAAGACAGTCTCAGTGGAACATCATTAGAATGGTATATGAAACTATAACAAGGTCAGATCCACACCTTGAAAGACTTGGCTAAGGCATTCTTGAAACATTACCCATACAACATAAATATGGCTCTAAATCGTACTTAATTGAAAAATCTTAGATATAAGAGCATTGAGTCGTTCAGAGTGTACGCCCAAACATGGAGAGAGTTGGGTGCTCGGTTTCAACCGCAAATGCTGGGTAGGGAGCTAACATATATGTTTATAGGTACTCTGCAAGGCCCATATTTCAAACAGATGATAAGCAGCGTGTCATAAGCCTTCTCTGATCTGGTGACAATTGAGGAACACATCGAGGGTGGCCTCAAAAGCAGAAGAATCCAAGGAGCCTCAAGGTTCCAAACTCGTGAGATTAAATCCATTAGCAATTTCCAAAAGGAAAAGAAGGATGAAGATAATGCATTATGCGAAACTCCCTAAGCTTTACAAGCTCCACTTTCGGTGCCTTATTACCAGTACCTGTATATATCAGTTGTTCAGAGTCAGCAAAATTTTGGGTCTCCATGTTAAATGACATTCCTTCCACATGGTCAATACCATCCTGTAAATCGAGGCCCTTTCAGTATCAACAACAGATTCCATAGCAGCCGCCATATCAGCGGCAACATGTTCTGCCACGATAGGGCCAGTGCAGTCAAAGGCCAAAGAGGCAGTTTGATTCTTTTCGAATGTCATACAGTCATATACTTCCATATTTGATCAACAGTCGATTAGTAGAGCCGAAGCAAATGAATCCACTTCCTCTTTAGGGTCATATTCTCTCACAAGAACTTGATATGATTCGAACCATAGTTTCTTTTGTAACAGAACCTGTTCCATCAAGTAAATTGGATTTTGTACACATGAACCAGCTAATTTGAAATCCTAATTGTTCTTCATAAATTGGATTTTGTCTAGAAAACAGACAAGTAGACCTTGGTGATTATTAATGGTTTATGAACAAATTTGTTTATCAACCCAGGTCGTTACACACGAGCAACATCACCTTGTTGAACAAGAATCATAGAATAATTACTATAACCTTCATAAAAATATTTTTGCACTATCGTAATTACTATAACCTTCATAAAAAATAGAAAAAAGATACAATCATTTGCAAGTCATAAAATTAGGAAGAGAAAGGGCCAAATAATATATTAATCAATACAACAATACAAGTAATCATAGAGTAATAACTAATGAAAAAAACACTATATATGTTTGATTCATATTTGTGGTTGATAGTATACCACAAGTTTGTTTATTAAATTGTGAGTTTATATATATGCACTCATTTTATTATAGATAGAAAGATATTAAAAGTTTTCAAGTGGATGGACAGAAAGTGATGGCATAGTCGGGTGTTGAAGAGCAGGTGAAGGTGCTGGTCTTATCATCGTAAGCATAGCTATAGGCAAGCGGACACTGGTTCTTGAAAACAGTAGAATAGTTTGTGGGTGGACATGTTTGTTCGGTATTGAAAGCTCCACGGCAACAATATTGATCCTTGTTGAAAGCTAAACAAGCACTTTTACAAGCAATCACACTCCCATCAGAACCTCTCACTTGAAGGTCTGAAGGACAAACAAGATTGATGTTCGCTGGACAACTGGAGGTTTTGCAGTCACCACTCCCACCTTGTGGCGTTACAGACATGGGCACGTTGAACCCATCAACATTGCTCACATCGTAGAAATCTTGTGAATGATTTTTCCTTTTCTGTTATAGTTTAGTTTGCTGAGTGATGGATGAAGTTGTTCTCTGCTTCTAGCCATATATATATGTAGGCTTCGATGGCTTGAATCTTCAACGAAATCTATTTCATTTCTTTCGGTCAATAAAAAAGGTACGTATGTGGAACAGTTCTAATATTTATATATATTTATTTTGGCCTCCATAATTTCAAGATTAAATCTTACTTAGAAATTATTTAGCCTCCATAATTTCAACATTAAATCTTAGTTAGAAAACATTTAGCCTCCATAATTTCAAGATTAAATCTTAGTTAGAAAACATTTAGCCTCCATGTCCATAGACCTTAGCATAAATATTCACCATCTTTTCAATTGTATATTTTGATTATAAATGGAAGATTAACTAATCAACAATGGACAATTAACCGTCTAATTTTATAAACAACTTTACAATATAATAATTTAAAGTACCCTTTTGTCGTTATAACAAATTTGATTAAACTCCATAAACTATTCTATAATTTTTATTTATTTGATATGTGTCAAAAATCACTATAAATTTTAAAAATATTCTTATATGAAAAATGATAGAACAACCTAAAACTAAAATGTGTATGAAAATAGTAGAAGAACCTAAAACTATAATAATATTAATCTATCATAAACAATCTAGAAAGAATAAAATAATGTAGAAACGAATAGATTTAAAATACAAGAAAAGAAAGTCGTCGAAAGGAAAAAACTAGGAACGTCGTAATGGATAATTAGCTAGAACTCCCCAACTAAAGACCTGCCGAAAACGACAATAATTTCCACCGAACAGCGAGAACACACACAAAGAGGCCATTGACACTTATCTTACTATTGGTTCAGATGCTAAATAGAATTCTCGAGTCAACGAGATCCATTTAGTTAGCTTTGTGAATATGATCGAGTGTTAGTTTTCGTTTGTGTCTTCTAATTATTAAGGATTTAATATCCTTTTTAGTCTTATATCTTAGCCTTGAGGTTCATTTTGATCCCTTAACTTAAAAAAAGTCCATATTGGTCCTTTAACTCTTCATAATGTATCATGTTAGTCCTTTCTTCTAATTTTATAAACAACTTTACAATATAATAATTTAAAGTACCCTTTTGTCGTTATAACAAATTTGATTAAACTCCATAAACTATTCTATAATTTTTATTTATTTGATATGTGTCAAAAATCACTATAAATTTTAAAAATATTCTTATATGAAAAATGATAGAACAACCTAAAACTAAAATGTGTATGAAAATAGTAGAAGAACCTAAAACTATAATAATATTAATCTATCATAAACAATCTAGAAAGAATAAAATAATGTAGAAACGAATAGATTTAAAATACAAGAAAAGAAAGTCGTCGAAAGGAAAAAACGAGGAACGTCGTAATGGATAATTAGCTAGAACTCCCCAACTAAAGACCTGCCGAAAACGACAATAATTTCCACCGAACAGCGAGAACACACACAAAGAGGCCATTGACACTTATCTTACTATTGGTTCAGATGCTAAATAGTATTCTCGAGTCAACGAGATCCATTTAGTTAGCTTTGTGAATATGAGTGTTAGTTTTCGTTTGTTTCTTCTAATTATTAAGGGTTTAATATCCTTTTTAGTCTTATATCTTAACCTTGAGGTTCATTTTGGTCCCTTAACTTAAAAAAAGTCCATATTGGTCCTTTAACTCTTCATAATGTATCATGTTAGTCCTTTCTTCTAATTAACGACTAATTTAGCAACCAATTTTTGAGTTTTTTTTTATCGTTAATAAGACATAAAGGACTAATATGGAGCGTTTTGAAGATTTAAGAGACCTATATGAACCTTTTTAAAGCTAAGGGACCAAAATGAACTTCGGGGCTAAGATACGAGACCAAGAAGGATATTAAGTCAATTATTAAAAGTTTGAAAATAGATAAGGACTAAATAGGTTCTTTATTAGGGTGTGATAGTGAACCCTAATTATTGAGCCAATTAACCTTATCTGCGATGAGTAATTCAAAGCTACTTAGTTTTTAGCAAGAAAAAGATATTTTTGGATTTTTTACTATAGTGTTTGACGAGACGTTCAATCTCGCTCCTACATATTCCCAAGTACGATGGAGAACTCGAGGCTACGAGGTTCTGAGTAGCAAACGTTTGTGTTTTGGTCTATTTTAACGAAAGGTATTTAGTCGCATTTGAGCGAAAAACATTGTTTGCTACCAAAACATAGAGAAGTGAACATTTGTGTCACGTCAGAATTGACAATATAATCCAGGCTCTCACATACTTATATTCTCATCGCATTCGAGCGTAAAACGTTACTTACTTGCACATGGTAAAAACGAAGCGTTGTTTGCATCGTCTCGGAATGGACGAAGCATCTTTTATTTAAAAAAAATGTTTTGAAATCGTGCTAAGGTGGAAAAAGATAAGCTTAATTGGTTGAATTATTTTTAGGTGGAAGATAAGTAATTGAAAGAGCAAGCTATTACGGCTTGTATCCAAATACTCAGAGACTATGGTCGGATATTTAATCCATTTTATTGTGAAAGTTTTCAAACACGATCGATGGAGTTTAAGCGGAAGACAAATACCCAAGCGGGCAAGCTATTACAACTTGTTCCCAAGTATTCAAGACTAGGATTGGATATTATATCCAACTAATCCTTTTTAATCCATTTTATTACAAAAAAATATTTGAAGCGCTTTTTATTAAGTTTAAGCAGAAGACAAATACTCGAGTGGGCAAGCTATTACGTTTGTACCCAATCATTTGAGACTAAGATTGAATTACATCCATTTAGTCCTTTTTAATCCATTATGATGAAAATATTTAAAATAAATAAGTTAGATGACTTTTGTTTGATTTGAAAAAATAATTTAATATTGATCAAGTGTTTGATTCACATTGCAATGAAATTGATTTGAAAATAAATAAGTAAGAATTTATTTTGATTTTGATTTGAAAATGAATTGAATTTAATTGGGAAACTAGGTTAATATTGTAGAGAAAATAAGTGTGGTTTTATTGTGGAAGTAAACTCATTATTTTTGTAAAAATAAATTGATAGAATTCTTGATTAATCGATTTTTATGGTTCACAATTAAAATTAATTCAAAATTAATTAAATCAAACAAACAAAAAAAAAGATTCAAGAATAAAAAATTAATCAAGAAACAGGGGATGCATGCATGGATGGAGGGTGAATTAGCAAAAATAAATAGGCCCATTTTTGTTGAGCCTACTAAACCAAACAAACAGACAAAAAAAAAAGAACTAAAAAACATGCCAAAAACTAGTTCGTTGGATGAACTAAAGGGTCTAGATCTGGCCACAAGATCCAACGATCTAGGCCCTTTGATCATGATCCAATGAATGAATACACATGATTATTCCAACTTATTTGAAACTAACCAATCGAAAGTTGAGATGTAGCAGCTCTCACAATTAAAATAAATAGAAAACAAAAAAGATAAAAGCAAAAAATGAAGAAAACACCTTATATCTCTCTCTTCTCCAACATATTTCTCTCACTCTCACAAATTTCTTTCTCCTCCCCAAAATCACTTTCTCTCTCTCTCTCTCTCTCTCTCAGGCACGCTAAACATATCTCACCATATCCCTCCATCGCTACTTATCTCTCTCTCTCTCTCTCTCTCTCTCTCTCTCTCTCTCTCTCTCTCTCTCTCTCTCTCTCTCTCTCTCTCTCTCTCTCTCTCCCATCTCTCAAATTCTATTCCAACAAATTAGGGAAGCAAAAAATGGTTTCAAACTCACTCTTCAAAAACCAAATAAAGTGAATCCATAAAATGCACAAATGCAAGAAAAAAAAGTCACTGACAGTTGTTTCAATGAAGATTGTCAAGTGGTGGCAGTAGTGCTTTCACATTAGTTGTTACGGTCGTTTATGGAAAAGAAATAGAGGGGACATTATGAGCGAGGGCTCTGATAGTGGCCGTGAGGGGTGGAAAAAGGTACGTAGTGCGTGGAGGTGAGGATTATGGTGATGATGTTGTTGCGTTAATGTTATTGTTTTGTGTATTATTAATGTTCTTCCCTTATTCTTCTTCTTTCTATGTTTGTTCCGATTTTTTGTTTTCTGGATTTCATACACCAGGTATTTATTAAAATGTTTTAGTTTATGATTTTGTTGTTGTTATGTTTTATTTAGCTGATGTGATGTGGTTTGGTGGTAAATACTATGGATTATAGAGATTTTAATGTTTGTGTTTATGTATGGTTGAACAGAATGTTCATTGTGAGTTTTTTGCAAACGAATGAGGTGGCTTGTGAGAGATCGATTTGGTTGTGATATTGGTGAAGGTTTTGAATGGAAGTTTGAGAAAAGTTGAATGAAGTATTAGTTAAGGTTATGTTGATGAACAAAGATGATAATGTGTAAGGAATGGTGCGAAGCTGTTATGGTGGTTTAGATGAAGGAGAGATGATTATGGTATGTTAACTTGGTGATGGTCGGAGATAGAAATTTGAGACGGGGGTTGAAGTTTATGGATGTCAATGGAGGAAGAAAAGTGGGAGAGGATTTATGGTGGAGAGAAAGAGCTTTTGTGAAAAGCTAACAGATTTCTCATGAAGAAGAAGAAATCTTCTTCTTTTTGCTATTTCTTTTAAAGATAAGAGATGCAAATGAGTATCAGCCTCTCACGAAGAAGAAGAAAAATCCTTCTTTTTTTAATTTGCTGAGAGCGAAAGGAATATGAATCGACTGATTTCTTTTTGCATGGCCCTCAATTGTTCAAATTTATACCCTCTAAGTAGGGTTTTTCAAATTAAATTAATGCTAATTTTACCATTTTTGTATTTTATTCTAATCTTATTTATTTTTTCTTTAATTTTTCTGATTAAAAAACGAACAAATGCACTAAAATAATCTATGTGCAATATACTTCAGTAAAAAAGACAATCGTGAATCAAATATTGCAGTTAAA